AAGAATCATCATAATTAATAACAACTATTGACAATACTGTAATTATCAAGGTATTAATTTCAACTTTCATTAGTACTGTTGTTAAATTCGTTAAAGCGTTTCAACCATGTGATCCTTCTTTGGCATGTAAGCCTGTAGTTAGAGGTTGTAATTAGAAATTATTCATAGATAGAGTGAGATATGTTTGTTGGTTTTTTCTTTTCTTTTTATTTGGGCTCGAAGCCAAGTACGTTCTTTGTAGGAGCGGATATCACACACTGCTTGTATTATACCACACGGTTCCATGTGTAGAGCGGATACCACACACTGCTTGTATTATACCACACGGTTCCATGTGTAGAGCGGATACCACACACTGCTTGTATTATACCACACGGTTCCATGTGTAGAGCGGATACCACACACTGCTTGTATTATACCACACGGTTCCATGTGTAGAGCGGATACCACACACTGCTTGTATTATACCACACGGTTCCATGTGTAGAGCGGATACCACACACTGCTTCTATTATACCACACGGTTCCATGTGTAGAGTGGATACCACACACTGCTTGTATTATACCACACGGTTCCATGTGTAGAGCGGACACCACACACTGATTGTATTATACCACACGGTTTCATCTTCATAATCAGGGACATTTTAGTGTTAGCTCTTTTTTTTTACCTATCTTATTTATTTCATTTCTGTTCATACTTAGCTTACGTACTGAATTTGAAGATTTTATGGACTGCATCTGCCTGGAATGTAGGATTGTTTGTTGTTTAGAATTTTCACATAAAGCTACACAAAGGACTACCCGCACATAGCTGTCTCCGAATTTTAATTCCCACCACTAATTAGGTGTTGGGGGGGGGGGCATGTGACTCGAACCATGAACCTTCGGATTCACAATCTCTGTACGCTTACTCCCAGATCACGCTTAGCCAGGAATGTAGAAGTGGAACGAAGTTTCATTCAGTCGTTGTGCAATTTGCTGTGCTTAAAACTTCTCTAGAACTACTTTTTGTTCAACCTGCAAACCTTCATCTTTTTTTTTTAATATATTCGACACATGTACACGTACACACATACAGCAGTTAGACAAAAAAAACACATTGATTAAAGACACGGTTATTTAACAAACAATTGCAATTGAAGCATTCCTAATATATTGAGTGTACTTCTTTTGCTTACAAAGTATTTCATAAACGGAAGTAACATCTAAGAAATGATTTCAGATGGCGCTATCATGAGACAAGTAGAAAAGGGCCTAAAAAAGAATATTCCACATCATAGTTTGATAGAACGAATGAGTTCGTGCGAAGATCAGATTCCGTTCTCGCAAATCTGTCAGTGAAAAGTTTTCTTTTAAGTTTCCTATAGAGTTTTATTTCGTCCTTGACGCAAACCGAATCACAAGCACATTTAGCTTTGTTTTCTTTATGCTTGTAGTTACTACAAGGTCAGATACCATGCAGTGAAATACATTATACATACATACCAGCAAAGCTATTACCTTACGATTTCCGCCTTTTTTTTAATCACGTAGATGGAATTTCATGTATCGAGATGAACAAACAGCTTAAACAGGAAAAGTATTCTACTTGTCTATCTGAAACGCTTTTGTCTGTCTATCTATCCGATTCTTAATATCTCGATCACGTGCTTGCCGCACGATATATGAAACGCGGTGATTATTATAACTATGGTAAAATATATTATTTTGGAGCCCATCTGTGTTTACAACTTACATAAACAACCTAATATATATATATATATATCAGTGTCAACTGTTGTATTAGTATGCATATCAATCTGACAACTAACTGTGCTCCAAACTTTTCATTTGAATATTTTTTTCAGCTTAACTATAAAAACAAAAATTACTTTAACAAAATAAATATTGTTGGAATGGTTTATAACAGTAACGATTATCATTAACTTCCGATCAAAGCAAGTTACCTATGTAGATCAGTAGTAAACTTTAATCCTGTAATTGATATAGCTATTTTAATATACTAGTAGTAAGCAAAGTAATAACACCAAAACGTATAGTGATTAGAATGCATTGATACATCAGTTACGTACTGTCGCTGTTAGCGATAGTTTTGGTTCTAATCTCAACTTATAACGTAGTTTGAAGATAGTGTGGTTGTTAGAATTGTTATAAAGTGACCTACTAGAAAGCGTTAGGGGATTAACCTTTAGTCCAGTTGGTAGAGTTGTAACGGAGCACCGTCTCAAATCCGACATAAGAAGATCGGGAAAAAATTACCTTCATTAACGTGGGATTGTCCCACAACCTTGAAATTTGGCCCGAGGACAGACCTTGTTTGTGAGAGGGGGGGGGGGGAATGTAGTAATTTCAGTGATTCAGTAGTTAAAATGACTTACTTAGAAGCACTAGGGGTTAACCCTTTAGTTCAGTTGGGAGAGCACTTGTCTGAAGTGTGATAAGTCTCGGGTTGAAATCTTAGGCAAGAAATATATATATATATATATATATACATATACATATATGCATTTAACAAATAATTTATTACAATAGTAAAGAAATTGTAGATTTGTAAGTTTGAATATTAATTCACTTATTTTTCCAAAGTCGAACAACAGAAGAATAGTATTCACAGGACGAAAAAGGTGTCTGTGAAAGTACGAAAAAATTTATTTTCCCAATTCAGCTATGCACTATATATATGATAATGTCATTTATCCCAACAGAAGCACATAACAGGTAATAAGAAGTAATTATACCACAAACGGATAAATTTCATGCAAGATTATAAAGAATCGTTCGTTAAATATACACGTTTATCACAACAAATTTATATCCTTACGCTATATACAAACAAACCTTACACGTACTTCACGACAACCATTCATTAATTGTAGACGTTTATCACAACAAATTTATGTCCTTACACTATATACAAACAAACCTTACACGTACTTTAAGACAACCATTCGTTGATTGTAGACGTTTATCCCAACAAATTTATGTCCTTACACTATATACAAACAAACCTTACACGTACTTCACGACAACCATTCGTTGATTGTAGACGTTTATCCCAACAAATTTATGTCCTTACACTATATACAAACAAACCTTACACGTACTTCACGACAACCATTCATTGATTGTAGACGTTTATCACAACAAATTTATGTCCTTACGCTATATACAAACAAACCTTACACGTACTTCAAGACAACCATTCGTTGATCGTAGACGTTTATCCCAACAACGCAGGAAAAACATTATACGTAATAAAACAGGTTTATATTTTAATAATACAAAAAGACGTTATAAGTAATGAAGTAGAACTATACCTCAAAACTACAGACGAACGTTATAAGTAATGAAGTTGAGTTATATCCCAACATTACAGCCAAACGTTTTAAGTAATGAAGTTATAATTAGACCCAACACCTTATGTGTGTGTGTTGGGGTGAGAGTAGTAAAAAAAGAAAATAAATAACATTAAACGGAAAAGTGGAGGACCATTATACTTTGTCCCCTCTGCAGTCAACATACAAGGGGAGCACGTCCCCTTCCTACCCCCCCCCCTCAGGGTTAGGTGTCTACGATAATCTAACCCTAAATGTAGATCTATAAACAATGGCGTCTATGACAAACTGCAATTACTGTGAAAATATATTCGATACATTTTTACTTCTACTTATTTCGCATATTTTTTGAAAATTCCATCAATTATGATGTATATATGAACTGCGTTGGTTTAAAATCTCAATTAATAAGAATCCAATACCATAACACATTTCGAATGTTTACCTTTGCACCATTTTTCTTTCTATTCCTACAAATAAATTACAAAGAACAAACCTTCGACACAGTAGTGTCTTTCCCACAAGTCGATCTCATACTCTGAAAGCGCCACCTGACCTTTGTTATAGTTTTCTTGTCGCTTATTTTTAAATACAAGACCAGTAACAGCATTGGTTGACAATGAAATTTGGTAGGATGGCAACGCACTTGCGTTGAGAGGTGTAGGTGTGGTCGATGATCGATAACGTGATAGAGTGGACTGATGGTGTCCGTTCTAAACAGCGTTTCCAGCGCCATCAGTCACCAGTGTCCAGCAGAAAAGAACTAACACTTTGGGTGATGAAGCCGAACTTATTTTTCCAACAGGATTAACTAAATACAAGTAAATTGCACTAAAGCTATTACTCCAACTTCAATCGTTTACAGTTTTCTAAACTTTTCTTCTTAAGCCTGCAAATACATATATCTTTCGCTATTACACTTGAAAAATAAAAATTGTACTAGAATTTCTTGTCAAATGAATGACCCTTAACAGATTTATACGTTCTTTTTCGGTTTAAACCTGAAATTACTGACTTATTTCAATACTGTTCACTACGGGTGGGCCTACATATTGCATAATGTTTAGTAATTTTATATTTTCACCTGTTACAGCACTCAGTATATAAAAAATTGACACAAAGAAAACGAGTGAAATCTCTCATCCGTGAAAATACGCTGGGGACTCTAGCAGCAAACAGGGAATTGATTGCAATGCTGTAGGTGCTTTAAAGTTCTCTCTGTGTGTGTGTGTGACTCATACGTTATTAGGAACCCTGTCATCAACAAAAATCACGAACCCACAAGCAATTTGATGCTTAAATAGTTTATAAAAATGTACTTAAAAACTGACGGAATACAGATCCTATCGGTGATTCTAGGGTTAATGTCTTTCAGTTTACTCACTAAGAGTTTCTTGTTGATTTATTATGAATACAAATGTATTTTGGTAGTTTATAGTCTTTTAAATAATAATTTCCTTTAATTGAAAATTTTGTTTGTAAGACTTAAAAATAAAAACATTAATTTCTTGGTTAAGACCATTTTGATTAGACAGAAGTACAATATATTTCACATTTTGAATACTGACGTAATCACACCCAGTAAAATCATTTTATCGTTATTATATATATAGACTTGTTACAACGGCATCACGAAATAAGTAATGCAATAAAACAACATACCTGCATCAACAACTTTGAAATGGAAGATGTCACTCGTGGCGTTCTCCAGGTCGTCAAGGATGTAGTAAATGACCATCCCATTGATGTCGCCTATGAGGAAAAAATTACAGAAACGTTATGATTTAAGTTTTATCGCTCTTTGAACTATATTTCTGTTGAATAAGGTATAATAAAAGAACAACAAAATAATTCACTACCTGCCAGTTGTGACATGTGTTTTTGTTGTCTTGCATTAGCTGAAATTTTTTGGTTCGTGTGTGCATAGCGTGTTTTATAACTATCACTATATCCCGAAACTTATAGAACTAACTAATTTACACCAAACTGTACTCACAAATATGAGAAATACATTGAAGTTTTACTTATCATTTGTAGTTGAGCGATGATAGTGTAACTTTCTGTAGCATTGTTGAGTTGGTTGGTTCGTTTGATTGTTAACGTGGATGGCACCTTATGCACGAAATGGGCTAAGCGACTAGTAGAAGCCGTTTCTAGTTTTTAACTGCACACTAGAGGGAAGAAAACCAGTCGTAAGCACCCTCCGTATGTAGCGTCTACTCTTAACCGAATAACGTGTTGGTAGTGATACGTATCGAACCCGAGATTCATAGGCCTCTAGTTTGATACGCTAACCATTAAGCTATGAGTTGATTTATAACAATTAGGAAAAAGGTTAGCAACCAAAACAATGTTGGTCTTAATTCCTTCAAATAAACCAATTCGACCAAGTGTATTATAGACTTTATACTCCCAAGCCTATAACTTCAGTTGCATTAATAACACGCTAGAGCAGAATACCTAACATTGAATAATCCACAGAATGTCAGGTCAAGCGACCCTCCTTCCTCTCCACATGAAATATTTACTCTATAGATGACAACCTAGGAAGCTTATTATACCATTTAGTGCGTGTTTACCAACTTCCACCAGAAGAAGCCGATGTCCTTGTTGCTCAGCAATTTTACGTGTGCTATTTTGACACGTATAAATAGGATTATCTCTGTATAATCTCATCATACCGCATTGTACTAACGTATATGACATATGTCAAGGTTTTTATTGGCTGTACAACAACTTCGCATTCAAACAGTTTCGAATCCGTGATCATTTTCTGCAGGAAATATATCTGACACTGGCAGATTGCTTCGGTGTCAGTCGGCAACATTTAGTGTCAGTAAATCCGCTGCAGGATTCTCTTTGCTCCACTGATTTCCAGTTGATAAAATTCACGCAGCGCAAAATACCCCGCTGTGAAGTAAATTTACAGTCTTTCGAATTTCACACTTCGAGAAATCATTTCAAAAATTATTTGACATCGCCACGAACCATGCTATTCAACTATTTTATCACTAGATTCCCGATGAAAAAATTTGGGGAACAGTAATAAAGTGGAAACGGTAGAGGTTGTAGAGTAGGAATTCCCGAAATCTTGGTTTGCATGTAAAACTGGTTGTAATGATAAGGATTCGGGTGCGAGCAGAAACTAAAACAAACAAACGTGTGTTCTACTTCGTCAGATTTTACAAACGTTTGCACAGAAGTACCATTTTTGCATATTGATTTATATAGTTTATATATAAAATAGCCACTAATCCATTAAACGCTGTTCTCTGCTATAAATTTAACAGTACCCAACTGATGAAACATTCTAATCTTAAAATGTAAAAACGCAAGAAAAATATAATTAGCTTTACTCATTACCAGGTTGATTTTCACCTTCGCTCTAAGTAGTTAGCTTGATGTAAAAACGCAAGAAAAGTATAATTAGCTTTACTCATTACCAGGTTGATTTTCACCTTCGCTCTAAGTAGTTAGCTTGATGTAAAAACGCAAGAAAAGTATAATTAGCTTTACTCATTACCAGGTTGATTTTCACCTTCGCTCTAAGTAGTTAGCTTGCTCTGATCGGAAGTTAATATTTATTATTAGGTTACAAACCAAACCCTCAGTAAAATAACAAAGATAGTATTACTAAGTTACTCCAGTAATGGTAACTTTGTTGTTGTTGTTATTTTTATTGAGAGATTAGTTTGTAGCCCAGTAATGGTATCTTTGTTGTTGTTGTTATTTTTACTGAGAGGTTAGTTTGTAGCCCAGTAATGGTATCTTTGTTGCTGTTATTATTTTTACTCAGAGGTTAGTTTATAGCCCAGTAATGGTATCTTTGTTGCTGTTGTTATTTTTATTGAGAGATTAGTTTGTAGCCCAGTAATGGTATCGTTGTTGTTGTTGATATTTTTACTGAGAGGTTAGTTTGTAGCCTGGTAATGGTATCTTTGTTTTTTACAGAAAGTATAATTTGTGTAGCTGTAATTTGTTTTTTTTGCTTTCTAGTGAGGGTTTAGTTCTATATTTTTACTGAGATTATATTATAGCCTCTATAAACTAACCTCTCAGTAAAAATAATAACAGCAACAAAGATACCATTACTGGGCTATAAACTAACCTCTGAGTAAAAATAATAACAGCAACAAAGATACCATTAATGGGCTACAAACTAACCTCTGAGTGAAAATAACAACAACAAAAAAAAGACACCCATACCAGGCTACAAAGTAACCTTTCAGTAAAAACAACAACAAAGATACCATTACTGGGTTACAAATTAAACTTTCACTTAAAAACAAAAATAGCATTACTGAGCTATATACTATTAGCACAATATAAACAAAAATAACTGACTGGGCTATAAACTAAACTGTAAGTAAAAAACAACAAAGTTACTATTATCAGGCTACAAACTGAAGTCTCAGTAACAACAAACAAAACAGAGATACCATTACTGGCCGAAAAACTAACTCTAAAAAAAGGACGTTACTGGGTTCACTAACTAGGCTAGTACTAAAAAAAACCAAAATTATCAATACTGGGCTACAAAATAGAGTCGCAATAAAAAATAACTGGGCTCTCAAACTAAACTCTCAATAGAAAAGCAAATACGGTATTAGTGAGCTACAAACTAAACTTTCATTAAAAATCAAATGTATTATTACTGTTAATACTCATATTAAAAACTAAAAAGACGTCATTATTGGGTTACAGACTATTCTCTCAGAAGAACAAAAAAAAGGTTTACTAAATCTGTTATAATAATACTCAGTTTTTGTCTGTCCTGAAAATGCGCGCGCACCTTCATTCCAATGGATGTAAACAAAAGGCGGATGTAAATATACTTTAGTAGACATTTTGTACAACATATTAAAAGCTAATCAAAGTTTTGAAAAAAGGTCTAAAGTTAGGTCGAAGAATAACATTGTAGGTTTATTTATTGATAGTATTAAAAACGGTAAAGTTCAGCACCAACTAAAGTAAAGCAAAAAACGTACACAAGTTACAGTGTTAATTTATCTCTTCGTCGAATATAAGCCGTACTTAATAAAGGCTTAACTAATGTTAGGCCTAATTCAAGTGAAGTTACAAGATTTCGGTGTCTGCGAGTAAAATTATTTTGTATTATTGTGGAAATCCTGTATTTAAAGAAGTACTGTTGCGACAATGACATTAATTTGACAACAAATGGTTTGTAAGTCTCTGCTGTTATATCACAATGGCAAGTCAAATGCATCATTGCTGAATAATAAACTAAATCCTTAACAGTTAACATGATTTCATTAATAAACATAATTAAAAAAAAAGAAAACCACTACCATCATATTTTCTATGCATTTTTAAAACAATACAATTCCAGATAAAACATATTTGTAACTTTTATTAAGAACTATTTTTTGTATCTCTCATGCCTTCAAAACCTAATATGAGCCACAGATACATCACATAATGGTATTTTTTTGTTTATTTGTTTTAGCGCAAAACTACTGCTATCTACCTACCGGGATACGGTGGTATCTTAACGTCTTTAGATATGATTTAATTGAGGATAATAGTTTGTTTTGAATTTCGCGCAAAGCTACACGAGGGCTATTTGCGCTAGCCGTCCCTAATTTTGCAGTGTAAGACTAGAGGGAAGGCAACTAGTCATCACCACCCACTGCCAAATCTTGGGCTACTATTTTACCAACGAATAGTGGGATTGACCGTCACATTATAACGCCCCCACGGCTGCAAGGGCGAGTATGTTTGGTGTGATGGGGATTTGAACCCGCGACTCTCAGATTACGAGTCGAGCACCCTAACCACCTGGCCATGCTGGGCCGAGGATAATAGTATGATTATACTAGACACATTTAAGAACTCGCTCCTATTTACAGAGAAAATTTGACATTATCAACATAAACATTTTTTAATGCGGTATAAAAACTAAACTGATCTCTCATGGGGTTTTAAAAAAATATCAAGTTTTTTTTAACAATATTTTAGCTGCCTCAACCATTCCTATTCTCCCCATCACATCGAACATGCTCGCCCTTTCAGACGAGGGGGAGTTATAATGTAACGGTCAATCCCACTATTCGTTAGTAAAAGAGTAGCCTAAGAGTTGGCGGTGGGTGGCGTTTATTAGCTCCTTTTCTTCTAGTTTATCCCTGCTAAATTAGGGACGGCTGGCGCAGATAGCCCTCGTGTAGCTTTGCGCGAAATTCAAAAACAAACAAACAAACCCTTCCCTCTAGTTTATCACTGCTAAATTAGGGACGGTTAGCGCCAAATTCAAAACAAGCCTTCCTATTCAGTCCTTTCCTTTCTCGTTTAGTCAGATTGTAATTTAGTTATTTACCTTTTTGTGCCTTAAGTTTTAAATTTAATTGTTAACTACACAGGACACATTTTAAGGGAAGACTATACTCAAAAGAATAAAAAGATTCACAAAAATTAAGATAAAATTAGGGATTAAATGAGGAATCGATTAGTTGATCTAGTGGAGGATTAGTCTCGATAAGTAGTTTTATGTGAATTAAAATAATAACAAAATGATAACTACAACATCATTAGATTACAAGAATTTTAAACGTTAATAGCTAGAATACCATTCACCATCTTAGTATAAAAGTAAGTGATGACCGAAAATTTTCATTACCAAATCTAAATATTTTATTTTACATATTACTTTCTTACACAAACACTACAGAATTTCAATTTACACGTTGGTTAAAGAAAGGGTTCCTGGCGAATATTAGAGCTATATCTTTCCAGCA